GAATCCTACAGGGTATGTAAGAATTAGGTGAAAAGATTGAAAGGCAGGGGCATGAATATTATATGTAGAAGAAATGGCATGTGCAAATGTCCTGGGGAAGAAAACATTTTAAATAACAGGGAAAAAGTGTTAATAGAACAGAGAAAACAAGAGGAGGGATGAAGTAAGACTGGAGAAGTGATGGATGTACCATATATCACTCTGGCTGATAACACCAGAAGTTTGGAACTTTATCCTAGAGCAGTAGAAAATCACTACAAGTTTTACTCTGGCTTCAGGGAAGACAAGCTTGGAGGTGGTATTATTCAGCATTCTTATTGGTGATACAAAATACCTAATACTTGCAACTTGAGGAAGAAGAGGTTTAATTTGGTTCATGGTTTCAGAGGGTCCAGTCTGTGGTCATTTGGCTCCAGGGCAGAAAGATCATGGCAGAAAGCTGTGGTAAAACAAGACTGCTCAGTTCACTGTGGCCAGGAATCAGAGGACTGGGGAAGACAGCCAGGGAGAAAGGGACCAGGGACGAGTTACAGACCCCGAGGCCACACCTCTTTGACCACCCAGATCCACCCAGAAATGTGCGTCAGTGGTCACTGAAGTTCTTAAGTCAGTCAAGCTGACAGTCCAGCTCCACCGCCACAGGGTGGTCTGACCCAGAGATGCTGATGGCTCTGGTTGGCAGGAGCGATGAAGCCTGAGAGCCGACAGGACCTGAAGGGTGCAGGACAAGGAGAACACCTGTGGCTTGCAAGTTTCCCTTGCCGTCTTCCACCCCAGTCAATAAGTTAGCTGCTCAAAATATTTACCTTTGCTACAGGAAGAGTAAAGACTATTTCAGGCTCTTCACCAGTGGTCCTGTTTCTGCTCAGGAACATTCATTCATGGAGGCAGTGCTCCAGGCTGGCCCGGAAGGAGACTGTCCAGGCAAAACAACCGCATCTGCCTAACAGCTATTACAGAGTCCCAGGAGCAGCACTAAGCCTGTGATTGACGGCCCCCTGTGACCAAGTCCTTCCAGTACTAAGGGACCGTGTGCAAGTGCTGGACGGCGCTGTGTCTGCAGCTCCAGGAGCCTGCATCCCAGTGAGCTCGGGATTAAGCGAGCTGTGGTGGGGTGGAAAGGAGGAGGAGGAGGAGGAGCTAGAAGCCGCCCCGGGGTACCAGGAGCTCTAAAGACAAGGTCTGCCATCCTTCAGCTGGTTTATCACCTTCCGTGAAATCCTTCCAGGCTATGAGAGAAAGTGCAGTGTTTCAAGAGCAGAAGGATTCATCCAAAAAAAACATCTGTGCTTGTTTCAAATGAAGCAGACGCTGCCAGGAAAACAACACTGTTTTTTGTCAGGGCCCCGTCTGTATTTATTCTTTTGTCCCTGTTTAATTAGATTAATCCTTCAATGGTTTCCCTTGGGTGGGTACAGGTCACTCGTGGCCATAAATCCTCAGCATTCTAAAAACAGTACGAGAGGGCGGTCTGCCTGGGGCCAGCTGGCCGGGGCACCCTCTGGCCCATTCCTCTGGGAGCGTGAGCCGGGTCCTTGCTAGCCCAGCACGCTTGCACGCTTGCACACTTGCGTGCATCTGCACTTCTCTCAGTTGCTGGGAGAGGAACCTACACTCACGCTAAGATCCGTTTGGAAGCAGAAATGGGACCTAGGGGTCTCAGGTCAACAAGGGGAGGCCAGCCGGTCTGGCGTTGTGGGGTGGGGTGCCTGGGAATCGGGACTTTGAAATGGTCCCCAGCCCCTCGCAGACAGCGGAGGCCAGGTGCCGCTGTGTCCGCACAGGGACCCTGCAGTTACTCCTCAGGTGGGCACGGCGTCCCGGCCCGCCCCGAAAGGGGCATTTCATTGTCTCTTGCTCTGCCTACTTCTTTGGGGGTGAGAGGGTGGCAGGGGGTATTGCTTCAAGTTCAGGGTTCATTCGGTTTATTTTTGATTTTGCTACTGGAGATTAAACCCAGGGCCTTTTGTACCGAGCTAAATTCCGAGCCCTTTTTATAATTTTAAAATTTTGAGATGGGGTCTCAATAAGTCTCCCAGACCAGGCTCCAGTGTGCGATCCTCCTTGTGCTTGGGCCTCTCAGAACCAGAACTACAAGGCCGTGGTGCGCATTTTACTTAATCCTAGTTTCTGCTTGCTACTTTTGTAATGTGTTGAGGATTAGGAAAGCAAACCATTGCAGGAGAATGAGAGACTCCAGTGTTTCCCCTCCTTGGTCACCCCGGAGGGGCCGGGCCAGGCTCAGAAACCCCTGCATCTCCCCCAGAGCACGGCAGGGGCTGCAGCCGGGCCAGGCCTTCAGCCTTTGTGCAGGGCCGCTGCCCACCCATCCGCCGAGTCTAGAAAGCGTGAAGGCTGCGCTGAAGTGAACACTGTAGTGCTGCCAGCAGGGCAGAGGGCAGGCGCGCTGGCAGCCGCTGGGCAACCCGAGAACTCCGCACAGCGCCGAGCCCTGGAAGCAGAGGGGAATTTTCCCATCGCTCCGCAGGCAAAGTGAAGCTACTCAGCCTGCAGTTGAGGAACTCATGGCTGCCACGGATCGAAGCCATGGTCCCCACTGAGCTATGCTGAAGGTTCTTTGAGGTCCCAGGCTGAGACCCTGTCAGCTTTACCCTTCCCGGCGCAGCGCTGGTGGAGACACAACCCTCCCTTTTCAGGGTTTTCCCGGCTTGTTCCTCGCTGTGTGCGGGTGGCCCTCAGCCATCCTGAGTCGGGGTCTTTCCCGTCTGCCCTGCTAATTCCCCTGGGATCCCGCTGTGGCGCTCAGCACCAGCTTGCCCTGAGTCCCCTTCTTGTGCAACGTTCTGTACGTGCTTCACGGCCCGGAACACCCTGCTCCTCCCCCGGGTATCCAACATTTCCCCTAACGTGTTCCAAACTCTGGCTCCTGGCAGTCAGGCGCTCCGATTCTGAACTCCCACAGGATTGTCAGCATCAGTCTTAGGGATCCATCACACTGCAGCTGGTATTTGTTGCTTGTGGTAGCCACATTAGCGTTCAGTTCCTCAAACAGGACTAACTTGATCCACCACAGGACATTTGCACCTCAGCTGATTTTGCAACCAGCATTCCCCTTCTAAGACTGCCAAGCTCCATTTCTATTAGGATACTAACTGCATGGCTGTTTGGGGACATGGTAGGCACTGAACACATGTTTACTGCATACGTGAGTGAATATCCTAGGGATCAGAACGCTGGCCTAGCCTTGTAACTCCTGGCGAGTTTGGTCATTCCTTGATTATTTCCTGTAATTTTGCACCAGCTGGTTTTCTTCCATCTGAATCCATTGGAAACTAACATTGAAAATCCAAGTTGCAGTTCCCAAATGGAAATCTAAGAAAAAGGCTACGAGGAAGGAGCAAAGGAATTTGAGTCTACAAATTTTAATGTACCTTATTGATTTGGGGGTAAAAATCCTTCTGTCAGGATTTTTGCAGAATCTTTATTTGTGGAATCTTAGACCCAACCATTTTTAAATGTGATGAGGTAGATCTTATTTTTAAAAATGATTTAATGTATGTAGTAGAGACATTGAACCAAACCAGCTTTTCTCTTCTGATAAATTTGATACCTTTATTTATGTGAAAGTGCAATAAACTGTAAAACCCATTGAGGTAGGAGGTGGTCTGCAGTGTCCCCACTGGAGTCCGGAGCCAGTCAAGCTGACCCGCTAGCCAAGATTTCCCCACACTTCTAACAATGGGAGGTTTTAACCAGGGCAGTGCTCGGTACTGTGCTCAATCAACCTCTTTACTGCTCGGGCTTTGCTACAGTTGTAGCCAGCTGTTTCCTGGCACCCAAGCCGTCTCCTTGCTGGGAAACAGCACCGTGCTGTCTGCCGGGTAGAGACTGAGGCAGGGGTGTGCTCTAACCCTTTGCCCTCTGACTCCCACTTTGTGGGTGGTCGAAGCAGGCCTGGGTGTGTGTTCCTGCACTGCATGTGATTATAAGCAGGGCTCAGCACTCTGTGCCCATACAATAAACCTTTGACCAAAATGAGACCACAGTAGCCGTGCATCCCTGTTCACCTGGAGACGTCTTACCTCTCCCTACTCTGTTTTGTTACTGGGATGGATGAATGAGCACAAAGGTTTTCGAAGATCTTCTTTAGATAAGTGGATAAGAAATGTAGATGAGAGTTTGACAGTTGGCGGCTGCTCGTAGACTTACTGTGTTTTCAGTGGAGTAGAAATTCCTTGCACTGCGCCCTCCTGCATGTGGCAACCCCATCCGTAGAATGTCAGAGGCTGTGCTGAATCGGCTTGTCGTACATCACTGAGACTGTGATTATGGAGCATGCTGGGTGCCCAGAGGACAGGAGCAGAGCTCGATGTGAACCAGTCCAAACAGCTTCTGAGCACCTTTCACTGTCATAGGAAATGACAAAGTGGTATCATTTAAACTTACTTAATGCACTTCCTAGAGGCGAAAAATAATTTCAACTTTAAAAACTATGTTTTTCTGGGTGTGGTGGCACACAGCTGTAATTCCAACTTTTAGGAGGCTGGGGCAGGAGGATCACCACAAGTTTGAGGCCAACCTGGGCTCCATAATGAATTCAAGGGCAGCCTGAACTGCTTGGTGAGCCCCTGCCTCAAAATAATAAACAAACAAACACTATGACACAGAAATGCACCAAAATGTTAACAATGGTTGGCTCTGGGGGGTAGGATTACAGAAGCATTTCCTTTGACTTTCTGTTTTTTTGGAGACAGTGTCTCATGTAATTCAGGCTGGCCTTAAACTCGCTATGTAACCAAGGCTGGCCTTGGATTTGCAGCAATCCTCCTGCCTCACCCCCTCGTGCTGGAATTACAGGCATGTACTGCCATGCCCGACTTTCCTTGGATATATTTTTATTTTCTGCTCTGATTACTTACTAGCACCTGTAGTATTTTTAAAAAGTTACTTTCAGGGAAGCGATGGGAGTTGTTCATCCCCCTCGCCCTGGGCTTCTCCTCCCTCCTCAGCTGTGTTCTCATGGTGCAACTTTGCCTCAGTCCAGGACCTGTGTGCCCTGGAGGACCACGCCTGTGAGCAGCTCTGTGTCAACGTGCCCGGCTCCTTCGTCTGCCAGTGCTACAGCGGCTACTCGCTGGCCGAGGACGGGAAGAGATGTGTGGGTGAGTGTCCTCCTGAGGCTTCTGGGGAAGCAGGCCAAGTGGGGGAGGCGGGCGGGGAGACTCCACACGGACCGCCCAGGCTCCTCTTCTTTGACAAAAGGCTCCGTTCCTTGGTCTAATTAGGCGGAGTTTGAAATCCGAAGACTTCATTTGTGGCTGAGGTCAGCATGTGTTCACTTGGCTCCTCAGCAAATGGTCTGTTTCCGATAATCTTATGTGAATACAGTCATCTGTCACTGCAGCGCCTGGAAAGGACCAGGTGGGTTTTGTTCACATAAGATGACCTGATTTAAATACAGCCCGTGGGTTAATAGGAAACATATTTGGCGGTGGACAGGGGAGCTGGGTGGCTCCTCAAAGACATCAACACCTTCCTCCTGCCTAATGGACCTTCTGGTCACTGAACAGCCCAAATGACCATCCCGTGTGGGAGCTCAGCTGTCTGCATCAAGACAGTGCAGTCAGAGGGAACTGTGGCCTCAGCCCACACCAAGCCCAGGGTCTCTGCCCAAGGCAAGGCCTGGCCACGCTGGCGTGAACTTGGGGACTCCGAGCTGAGCTCAGAAGAGAGTGGCAGAGGCAGGGTGGCATCTGATTGATCAGTGCTGCCTTGAAATTCTCCTCGGCACCTGCAGAACAAGCATCAGGACCGGAGCCCTGATTTTTCTCCTCCCTGCCCTGCTGCGTCCCAGCGCCCAACTGTACCACGCTTTGCTTCCCAGTGTGAGCCTGCTTGCTTGTTACCCGTTTCTGTTTGCACGTAGAATTTACATGTGCCAGCACACCTTGAGTCTCAGCAAGGGACAGGAAAGAAAACAACACAAGGAAAGGTGAGGCCTGCTGTTTGTGGGTGAGAGACAGTGTGGTTTTTCATACCAGTGAGACTCCTGGCCAGACACCTGCAGATGGACTCGGTCTCCTTTGCCTTAGAGTTGTCTTTTGCTCGTTTATTGGGTTTTTGGGAGGATTGTCTTCATCTGCTGCTGGTGACCACGACAGAGAAGCAGACTCTAGGCATAGCACTGTTTGCCACAAACACTAGCAATGTGTGTGTCAACATCGATTCTTACTATGTTTGCTTCACGCCTTCTTTACGGAGGTGACATCCTTTCACTGATGAACTGCAACAGACGAGAAAGTCACTGTTGATAGTTTGTCGTGTCTCCTCCCCCACGAACTACCTACTTTGAAACTTCTTGCTCACGGAGCACCGCTCGGCCGGAAGGATGCTTTTGAGTCACGTGTAGGACGTGGATCAGTGACCGAGGTGCTGAGTAGAGCAGATCAGACCCAGAAGGTTCAGTCTGAGAGACTTAAAATACGGATAGTTTAAAGAGCACAATGAGAGAGATAGTGGGACAGCGGGCGGCAGACTCTGTGGGGCTGGGAAGGCGTCTAGAGCAGCAGGACACGGGGTGGGAGTAAAAGTGACCCCGATGCGACAGTGTGCAGCATGCTCCGGTTCCCGCTCCCGTTCCACCCGTTCCGGAGTCAGAGTGAAGAAAGACATTACAGCGGGGGAAACTAAAACAGGCCATGATACGTATCTAGCATGTAATTATCGTGTACTGTACACATAATTTAAAAATCAGCAAACAGGGGAAAAAGCCTTTTTGCTGATGCTTAAGAACCTGAAGTCTGCTTTGCTTTAGCGCCTCCTGAACCCCATGCTGGTTGCCGGGTGCTGTTGGGGCCATGGTGAGGGAAGCCTGTGCTGGTCCCCAGAAGCCAGGCGAGCAGGCCCGGTCAGTGGGTGAAGGAGGGAATGAGGGATCCAGGGTCTGAGGCCCCTGGGGAAGAGGAGGGGCAGGCGCTGAGCCTGGGCCTTGGGAACCGGAGCATGGTGGGGAGCTAGTTCTCCTCGTGCTGGCAGATGATCACCTAATTATCCCGGGTAGTAAGGATAATTAGGCGTGTCTGTGCGTCTGCTGTCACTTCTGGGATTTGACGTCTATTATAAAGTGAAAGTGTGCACTGGCCAGTGCTGCATTGCCATGGAGCTGGCGGCTGTGTTTGTTAGAGGTGACCTTTCTCGTGCTGCTGCTCATTAGTGTGGGAGAAGGTCTGGCTGTCCTGGGAGGGGCCTGAGCCGAAGAGGGGGAGGATGGGAGAAACCGGGTCTCCCTTTGGACCCTGCACCATCGTCTTCACACCACTGTGCTGGCCCGCAGCCCCCCAAGCAGTGGATCTGGAGAAGCTGCCTGAGATGATGATGAGCACATCTTGGGGGCCAGTGGCCTCAGTGGTGGGCTCTCAGAAGGTCGCTGAGGCTCCATCGGGGTGAGAGACATGGAGGCCACAGAGGTTGGAGAAGACAAAGCAAAGAAAAGCAGGAAGACCAGGGCCAGGAGGGAAGGGCGGCAGGTGGACAGGTGTCCAGGCCTAGGCGGACGTCAGGCAGAGTGACCGTGTGGAGGTGGCAGTGCTCTCGGGCACAAGGCTGAGGCTGGCCTGGAGGGCGAGGCCTGCTCCTGGGGCTGCTAGGCCAGGGAGAGATGGTCCCAGTGTCACTACACAGACACAGCTACATAGGCAACCTAAGGCGGGGCATCAGTGTACAGGAAATCATCAAAGATGAAGACTAGAGGCTTAGCAGGGAGATTTAGAGGACCGCAGAGGTCAGTAAGGACCCCTGAACCCCCTCCATCAGCACTCTGGGGCTCGTGTGTAGCTCAGTGTGAAGGCCCTACCAACACAGAGCCTCTCGGGCTGGGGATTTAGATCAGTGGTGTAAGTGTCCACCTGGCAAGTGCAAAGTTGCAAGTTTAATCCCCAGTATCAAAAAACCCCAGAACTAAGTCACTAGGTTACCCAGGCTGGGCTCAAACTTCCAACCCGCCTGCCTCAGCCTCCCAGAGAGCCAGGATTACAGATGTGTGTTTCTGCACCCAACTCAGAGCCTCCTTTTAAGTTAATCACCTCTTGTATGACCCTCGTCTCCAAAGACAGTCACATTCTGAGGTATTAGGGGATAAGGCCTCAACATATGAATTTATGGGGGCTCAATCTGCCCATAACATTCCTCTAGTGCTCTCAAAATTCATAAGACACCTTCCCTGAGCTTTAAAACCCTGCACATGGAAGTCAAGTCATGAGAAGGAAGGGGGACCGAGTCTGTATGTACCTAAGTGTCTAACACGTACCCTGCGCGTAAACTGGCTCTACTGTTTCTCCCATGGTGCTTTTAGGTTTTCTTACTGTATCACCAACAAATGTTAAAATCCAAATGATCCTCTTTAAAATATCCTGTTTCAGCAGAGTGATCCCTGCTGAAAGCCTTGAGATGTGAGCAGATTATAAATCAGAAATGACCGTTCAGATGGTCACTACACTGCACTTGAACATCGCTTACCCAGGAATGCAGCCAGGCGACCTCCCACAGGCAGCAGAGACTGACCTCCGACCCCAGCACCCTAGCACCTGTGATCTGGGGACCAGTGGATGCCAAGGAATGACCATGTTCTTTCCACTTGGACAGGAACGTGGAAATTTCAGGCGGAAACGACTGAGAAAGGATTTGTTGATGTAGCTGAGGACTCAGAACAACAGAGGCTTTCTGGAGTTGCACATAAAGGTCTCCCCTATACATCTGTCCCCTAACCTTGGCTTCCTCTCTCTTTCTATTTTTCCTGGCACTGGAGATTGAACCCAGGGACTTTACACTGAGCTGCAGCCAGAGTCCATCTATTTATCTAGTTTAAAATGTTGACACACGATCCTGCTAAGCCACTGTTTGCCCAGGCTAGGCTTGAACTTGTGAACTTGAGATCCTCCAGCCCCAGCCTCCCGGAGTGCTGGGGTTGTAAGCATGGGCCACCATCTCCAGCCCTTTGTCTTCCTTTTTACAAGTACAGTTTTATAGCCAAGGAAGTTGTGCAACGAATCCAAAACATTTGGCCAAGGATGTCAGAGTTGGATGCTCTAGAACTTGGCCTCGAAAGACATAAAGCCCCATGGACTCGGAAATGAGTTTCTTCATGTCCAGCTGCTGCACTGATGAACTCATCGGTGGTTCCTGTGACCTGGCAGTGAATCAGTGGTGGCTCTCACATCAAGGTGGGCTTTGGGCACCTCCTGGTTATCAGACCCAGCACTATCTGAACGAAGGTGGGCCTGCGGCTGGCAGATTAATGGGAACCATAACTCAAAGAGGAGAATCCTTTAAAATCCTTTAAAAAAAAGTGCATATCCCAACCTACCTTAACTATTTTTGTTTAAAACATATAAATTACATTTAATAACAACTCGTTTTAAGAATATACTCAAAAAATACTAAGATTAATTTGAATAAAAATATTTTAAAATCTTGATTGCATAAATTATACCAATAATACGTTGTTTATGATTTTCAGTTTGCGTTTTTTTTTAGAACTGGAACAAGGGTTTGAAGACTTTGGTAGAATAAAGACCAAATGCTTGTAAATATTCATGAAAATGACCTGATCTTTTCCACCTGTTTCATCCAAGCCTTGTCCTATGGCAGTTTTGGTTGGGAAACTGCCTCAAGTCTTTTCAAAACTATGAGTTTAATTTATATTTTTTAAAAAGTCAGTTTCTCACAGTGGATATATTTATTGGCTATTATTATATTTAATTATAACATGTACAGATGGTACATATGGGGTCACGGGAAAGACTCTGCCTTTTGAATGGAGACTTAGACTGGAGCATGCGTGGAATCCCCTCGCGTTCCTGAGCTCTGAACCCAGAGTTTCCACCCAGCTGACCTGGGTGGGGCCTGACATGTTTCGGAATGATGTTTGCTAAGCACTTTCAGAGCCAGTGCTATCTACGCCTTGCCTTGGGCAAGGCAGCAGCCTCCAGGGTCTGTAGGCACAGACGTCCCCATGGCACTGAGCACATGGCCAGCTGTGAGTGGCACAGGGTCCAGCCACCCTGACCATCCAGTATCAGATCATCTCAGAAGAAAGTGTTGATGGATCTAGAGTTGGCTGAATAAAGATTGAGGAAAGGGCTGCTTCTTTGTTCAGTTGGTTTTCTTTTTTAATACTGGAGTCCATATTGGTGACTATAATCTGGAAGAATAGAATTCTGGGAAAAGGTGAGTTTGGAGCATGTGGCTTAGATAGGAGGAGTCTTAAACAAACAGTGGGCCCCTGTACTTATAGAGGGTTTGTCCCTGCGAAAGACAGAAGCTGTTGGGCTCAAAGATTACACCTTTTGGTCTGAGAGAGAAGCTCCAGTGAAGTCCAGCTTGCATTTCTGTCTTTTTGGAATAGTGACCGCTCACCACCGTAGCACCATCAATATGCTACGAGTTAGAAACTAGATCAGCAGCTCCTCCCTCGGAGGGGGCACTGAAACGTGGGTGACAGAGACTGCGCTGGCTGACTGACTGTGGAAGCCGTAGCCGGGATTGGGAAGCTTCCAAGATGGTGGCCAGGCCCAGTGGGAAGAGGCTGAAAGTGGGCTTGCCAACAGCTAACTCAGCCCACGCGAGTCACGGCATGGCCACCTCCTGTGACACAGCTGGGGTGCGTGCCAGAGCGTGGTGCTCCTTAATCTCAGTGTCTCCGACATGACCATTAATTTGTTTAACAACCCACTGAGTCTCAGGAGCTGGGAAATTAACTTCTAGGAGGCTTTGGTGCTACTAGATATTTATATGATGACTCAACCCAGCATCTGCCTGATGTCCCATGACATCAGACCCTGAGGTAATGTCATTTTGTTCCTCCCATAATGACAAATATTAGGTACTATTAGGACTGTTTAGAGAGGTGAAGTCACAAAAATAGTATTTTAGGCAGAAATTTAATGAGGCCTAGCAGCAAAAGAGAAAGCGCGACACAGCCAATTACCCTTTAAAAGTCTTTAGCGTTTTCTTTGCCTGTTAGCTACTGTGTGAAATGTGTCGTCTTCTCCACTGCATAATTTTGCTTTTTAAAAAAATCCTAGCTGTGTATTAATTTGTCCTTGCTCTTCTTTACAAATGTTTGACATTAATAGGTTGCAGAGAGAAACATTTTTTTAAAGGAATAAAGTTTGCACACGATTCCACCACCTTAACACAACACGCTTTCTTATTTCTAATTCCCTGGTTCGGTCTTAGGAAAGGACATAATCTTTGTGAATGTTCAATTTGAGGATCAACTTTTTCTCACCAGATTTATCTTCCTGTGTACAGTTCAGTCATCATAATTATAATGGTCGGTTTCTCTTAGATGAGAAATGCAAATTATAAATAATTTATAGAGCAGAATAAAAGCCAGGTGACGGGAAGCAGGGCGGTAGCTCTTTTGCAGATGGGAAGGAATCAAGCCCTAGCTAGACAGGCGGAGAAATACGGGCTGGGACGCGGGTGTTCACACGCACGCAGCCCCAGAGGCAGCTTGAACACCTGCTTTTCTGTTGCTTCGCCTCTAATCTGTAGGCAGCCTGCCACCCTCTTTCCGTGCCTGCCTGGTGATTCCGTTTCCTGGGGCTACTGTGACCAAGCACCGCACACTGCAGCACTGTCACATGGCACAGGCGGCTGTGGGTCCGAGCTGCCTCTGCAGTGTAGAGGGGATGCCTTCCTGGCCTCTTCTTAGTGCCCGGAGGTGTCCGCTGTCCTCCATGTGGCCTCGGTGTCATGGCAGTCACCCTGTGCCCTCCCCCTTGGAAGGCCTGGCCAGGAACCAAGTCTGAAGGTGACTCCCTCAGTAAAGACCCTGTTTCCACCTGAGGCCGCAGCTGCCAGGGCTTAGGACTTTGCTACACGTTTTGGGAGACACAATTCACCTGTGAGCTGGGGACACCTCCCCGCTCTCCTGGGTGTGAGCCCAGGCGCAGCTTCCCCACTGCTCTCTGCTGTCCTTTGTCCTCAGATCCTCTCTTCAGAACCCTCCAGTGACCCAGCGCGCTAAGGATAGAAGCTGAAGTCCTCGCTGTCGCCCACAGCTCCCTGCCTCTCCCACAGCCTGCCTGCCGGTCCTGAGCACAGGCAGTGTTCCCACCACCTGCCCTTCACGCTTGTCATTGCTTTTGCCCGGAATGCCCTCTCCCGGGTTGCCATGCTGTTTTTATCCTGTATCTTTGTAATGTAACTTGAAATCTGGGTTTGTGATACTTCTAGCTTTGCTGTGCTTGCCCAGGATTGTTTGGCTAGCTATTCTGGGTGTCTTCTGGTTCCATATGGATCTTAGGATTCTTTTTTCTAGTTCTGTGAGGAATGCTGTTGGTGTTTTAAAGGGGATTGTGTTAAATCTCTCATCAGTTGTGTGTGAAGCATGGTCGTTTTGACAATATTGATTCTCCCTTTCCAGAAACAAGAGCTGTTGACTTATTTTCTGATGTCCTCTTCCATCTCTTTTTTCAGAGAACTGTAGATTTTGTAGTAGAGGTCTTTCACCTCCTTGGCTAGGTTAACTCCTAAATGTTTAATTTTTCTTGATGCTGTTGTGAATGGTATTGGCTTCCTTACCTCTTGGTGGGTTCGTTATGGATGTACAGGAACGCTATGAATTTTTGGGTATTGATTTTGTGTCCTGCTACTATGCCAAATTTGGTTATGAATTCTGGAAGTCTTTGGTGGAAGTTTTTGGGTCTTTCATCTAGACGATCATGTCATCTGCAAATAACAATAATCTGACTTTTTCCCTTCCTATACACGCCTCTTTTATTTCTCTTCCTTACCTGATTGCTTTGGCTAATGTTTCAAGGACTATGTTAACAGCAGTGGTGCTAATGCCGTCCCTGTTCTGTTCCTGATTTTGGAGGGAAAGATTTCAGCGTCTCCCCACTTAACACAATGTTAACCTGAGTTTCTAACTGAACTCTGACTATGTTCTTTTCTGCAGCTGTGGACTATTGCGGCTCAGAAGATCACGGATGTGAACACATGTGTGTGAATGCCGATGGCTCGTACTTGTGCAAGTGCCGTGAAGGATTTGCTCTTAACCCAGATAAAAAAACATGCACAAGTAAGTCTCACACACGCACGCACACATTTGCACTGTTGCCATGGGAGCTGTGGCTGTGGCAATCTCCCAGGCATAGATCAGTGCAGCGTTATGTCCTGGAGGTCTGCTCCCTCCTGGCCGGAGTCCTCCTCTGCCAGGCCTTTCTATGCGGTCTAAGGCTGTAGCTCCTCCCTCCACATCACCAGTTGAGGTGTCTGATGAAGGTACCTTTTGAAGGAAACTGCACTTGGGCACCCCTCTGAGCACGCCAATAGCCAGACCACCTCCCTCAGCCCGGCACGCCCGTCGGTAGTAGCAGAGCTTAGGGGAATATTTTCAGCAGGGCCCTGTGGCTTGTGGGCTCCAGCTCTGACTCCACAAAGCACCAGGAAATTGCTGAGCCAGAGAGAACTCGTGGTTTCTTTGCAGTGGGGTAGGGCCGGGGGATGGCCTTTTGCAGAGAACTGCTCAGTGTTTGACCGGCTGTTTCATTCTGTTTGACTTAGTTCCCCCTAGTCAGAACATACGATCTACAAAGTAGAGGTGATTGCTAGCTTTATAAAGGATTCTAACAGTGTTCTTTAAATATGGAGTACGCGGTACCCTCAGGGGTGCTGGATTTTCCGGCTCTGTGAGGTCACTTGAGAAAAGCTTGTTTCCCAGTTGTCAAGACCCAGAGTTTTTAAAGGGTGAAGTTTAATTGAAAGATAAAATGAAAACCGGGCCGGGGTTAGCTCAGTGGCATAAGCGCCTGCCAGCAGGTCGTGAGTTCAATCCCCGGTACCAAAAAAAAGATAAAATGACAACCAAACTTTGTTGATGGGAAGGGAAAGGGGGTTTGAAAAGAGGGGGTGAAAATGGGGGAAAAAAAGGAGGAATCAGGATGTATCATATACAGACACAAATTTCCTATAATGAGTGTGGTTATTATGGGTACCTACACTGTACCAATAAACTTAACTTAGAAAAAGGTAAGGCGTCTCTGAAACATGTAGCACTGAGGATTTTTTCCCCCCCCTCTTTGGGGCAGAGTCTTGTCGTGCAGTTCAGGCTGGTCTTGAACTCACTTTGTAGCCCAGACTGCACTTAATTCCTTGCATTTCAGTCTCTATTTCTAACCGAAGTGTAGTTGAAAGCTAGTTAATCCAGTTAGGCAGTACAAATAAGATGGAATGTGCCAAGTGTGATTAATTTATTATTAAGCCAAAATGTACACAGTGAGAGCTGTAAGTTCTCAAATAAGTAATGCAATTTAAACTAGCTAAGTATCAAAAAAAGCATCAGTTTTTATATCAATTCCTTATGCTCAAGCAGCTTGTCCAAATCAGTGTGAATACTCTGTAGAAGGAAAAATGGAAAAATCAAATACTGTGAATTTGCAAAATTTTTTCACGGTAAAATATGCGCTGCATAAAATTTACCACTGTAAACTCTGTGTGTGTGTGTGTATGTGTGTGACACACATGCCAAGCAAGTACTCCGTCACGAGCACACCCCCAAATTTTTTATTTTGTGGCAGAGTCTCACTAAGTTTCCCAGGCTACCCTCAAACTTGAGATCCTCCTGCCTCAGCCTCCTGAGTATCTGGGCTTACCAGAATGTGCCACTGTGCCAGCTGCCATAGCCAGTGTGAAGTGTGTGATTCAGTGGTGTTAAATACATTCACACTGTTACACAGCTGTCACAAGCCTCCGTCTCCAGAACTCTTCCATCACTACAAATGGAAGCTCTGTCTTCATTAAACAACAACTCTGGCTCCCTGATCCTCTAGTCCGACCCAGCCAACCATTCATGTTCTGTCTCTCTGAACTTAACTTAGTAGGTGCTTTGCATGTGCAGAATTGTGCCATGGCTGTCCTTTTGTGACCAGCTTATTTCAGCATCTTTAGGGCTCATCCATTATTGCACTCTCAGAATTCCCTTTTTAAGTCTGAGTAATGTTCCATTTCCTGTATCCACCTATCGGGGACAGGGCCTTGCCCCCAGCTCCTAAAATGAGTTAAGGCAAAGGCTTACATGAAAAGAGACAAGGAGTATGATTTCTGGGGAATCCAGGAAGGTCAGAACTCTGGGGCTCATGCCAGGGACCCTTCTCGATTACTGTTTTTATTGGGCTTTCACAGATTTGGGGGTGCAGGAGGAGGAGGGCACATGGGAGGCAAATCCTATGAAAATGATCAGAGCCTTGAGAAACAGAGGCAGTAAATCTTGCCAGGTAAGAGCACTGTCTGCTCTCTAAGGCTGGCAGCTTTGTTGCTCTGGAACGGGGCGTCAGCAGACTGTGTCCTCACTGCCCCGCTGTGGTGTCATCTTGGCTTCAGAGCACTGTGATTAGGAGCTTTTCCCACAGGGCCAGGGGTCCCTTTGTGGTCAGCAGTTTGACCCTGACATCGCCTGGTCTCTGACACGCGCCGTGTTTTGTTTATCCGTGGACACTTCCTTCCACCTTTCGGCTGTTGTGAATCATGCTGCCATGAGCTTGGATGTACACGAGTCTGTCCGCATCCTTTCTTTTGGGGCGTATTCCTGGAAGCAGAGTTGCCAGATCCGCCAGGCATGGTGCTGTACACATGCAGCCCCAGCACTTGGGAGGCTGAGGCAGGAGGGCGGCTGCAAATTCAAGGCCAGCTGGAACTGCATAGCAAGACCCTGTCTCAGAGAATGGGGTGGGGGAGAAAGAGACGTGAGCAGTCGTCAGGCTTCCTGGGCAGGGCGTAGCTAACCTGCGGAGCCCGTTACCACAGTGTGCCCTGCCGTGCACAGCTCTCGATTGGAAGGAGCCTCCACGTTCCACCCAGGTCTTCCCTCCTGCCCATCCTGCAGTGCCCTGGCCGTGCCATGCCCGGCATGCGCTTGCACAGGACACGCACTCTGCCCGCACTTGGTCCTGCTCCTAGAAAGCGAGTCCTCCCACACTGAGCCAGTCTCTGCCTCCTTGTACCCAGAGTCCAAGGGAGCAAATTCTGCTTCTCAGCATTTTTGTGGCCGCTTGGAATGAGCCAGATCAGAATAACCTGATGTCCTGCAGTGGACCGGCCAGGCACGGAAATGCTTAGCAACGACCTGAACCTTGGTACACATCGGCCCAGTGTGCCGGAGTGAGCCCCAGCCTGGGGCCCAGACAGGAGGCTGCGAGGGTGATTGCCTGGCCAGAACCTGCTGGTGCCTGGCTCCCAGGGCTGACTGACTGCTAAACTGGAGCCTGCTAGAAAGAGGTTGTTTTGTGTTTTGATTTTGTTACTGGGAACTGAACACAGGCCTTCACACTGAGCTGTATCTCCAGCCCTTTTTAAACATTTTTAGTTCTGAGATAGAGTCTTACTAAGTCACCAGACGCTTGACGTTGCAACCCTCCTGCCTCAGCCTCCTAGTGTTCACTGTTCCCAAGGAGGTTTTTAAACAGCCGGGCAAGACAAAGCCTCAAGTGAGACAAGAGAACTGTCTTCCCCTGCTAGTGACCGTGTTCATGCATCTAAAGCTGGACAAAGCACTCTGCAAAGAGTAGTTCCAACAACCATTTATTATTCAACAGATGCTTGCTGGGAATCTGCTCTGTGCCAGGTGAAGTTGTAGACCTGGGGCTTATCGCTGGAAATAAACAAAGCAACTCTACCTGTGCTTATGTTGTGTTGAAGCAGAGTAAGAGAAGCTACCATCTTGAAATGGTGACGTTTGATCAAAGAGTTGCATGACATGAGAGAGGAAAGAGACCTTTAAGGCAGAGGGAATATAGTGCCTGTGCAAAGGTCCTGAGGCAGGAACTGTGAGGCATGGCAATATTGGGACAACACAAAAGCCTGTGCCACAAGGACAGAGTGCGATGCTGTGATGTGAGAGCATTTAACCTGCTCTCTCCTGTCCCAGATGCTGCAATGCCTGTGAGCTTGAGCCCTCCTGCACTGAGAGCTCACACTGTGGACTGTATCCCATGTTTCAGGTGGAGGCGTCTGTAACTCTGTCTAGTGTTCCCTGGTTATTTCCTTCTGCAAGTCTCTGGACACCTCCTACACTGTTCTTTTTCTGTGTTTTTTGTGCTGTTTTCCATGGCAACTAGTTTTATAATTATGAATTTGTGCTTTTATTAATACTTTTACTGATTACAAAAGTAATGGGCTTACTGTAGAAAACTGGTTTGCATAGAAATGAAATTATATAAAGTAAAATCATCTATGATCACCTAGAGATAACTATTGTTTTTTTTTTTTTTGTCTTTTTCCTTTTTATCGGTACCGGGAATCGAACTCACGACTGCCTGCTTGCAAGGCAGGCGCTTATGCCGCTGAGCTAAACCTCCAGCCCGAGATAACTATTGTTACCAGTAATTTGGTACATTTCCTTCCAAATTTATTTATTTTTTAAAAGATGCTGGGGATTGAACCCATCGGGACTGTACCAGTGTGCTCTCACCCAGCTCTTTTTATTTGTTGAATTTTGAGACCGGACCTTGCTAAGTTGCCCAAACTGGCTTCACACTCACAGCAACTGTCCTGCCTCAGCCTCTTGAGTGCTGGGATTATAGACAGGTGCCGTCCTGCCTGGCTTAGACCGTGACACCATGTCTGGTTAGACTGTGAGTTTCTGTTCTCGCTAAACCAGTGCCTGCCCCATGACCGGTGTTCAGAAAAGATTTATTGAATAAATAGAAGCATTACTGAATGCACACTGAGGTTAGCACTTTTTCTTATGTTACACACTCAGAAGAAATAGGGAAGATCTGAGTTGGATAAGAGAAATAATAAAAGGTGAAACTAATACAGCATATTAGTAAAACCATATTTTTTATTATTTTTTTAAGACTGAGTCTTGCTGTGTAGTTTAGGCTGGCCTTGAACTCACCTTGAACTCTCTGTGTGTCCCAGGATGGCCTTGAACCCACAGCAATGCTTCTGCCTCTGCTTCCCAAGTGCTGGGGTTACAGACATGGGTCACCATCCACTAGACTAAATGGTTGTTTTTTGAGAAAATCATTAAAACTGACAAACCTCTGGCCAACATGGCCAGTATAAAAATAGAGAGGACACAAATTACCGATGTTAGGAATGAAAAGGTGAGTCTCTCTGTAGATCCTACAAACACTGAAATAAAGAACAAACGGGTGCCAATAACTTCAACAATTTAGATGAAATGGACAAATTCCTTGAAAGATACAAACTACTGACGTTCACTAAAGAGGAAATGGATTTTCTGAGTAGGCTTCCATCTATAGGAAGACACTGAATTCGTGCTTGAAACCTTTCAAAGGAAATTCCAGATCTATTTGTGTTAATTGGTGAAATCTACCAAGCATTTGAAGAATAACTAACACCAATCTGGGTACCTTCTTCCTGAAAATTAAAGATAAGAGAACGTATTTTGATTCATTCCATGAGGCCAGCTTGCTGATATTTAAACTAGTATAAAATGTAAGGAAAAAAACTACACCCATATATCCCTCCCTCATTACCTGGGCATGGTGGCACATGGCTATAATCCCAGCACTTGAGAGGCTGAGGCAGGAGAATCGCTGTGAGTCTAAGGCCAGCCTTGGCCACAAAGTGAGTTCAAGCCCAGGCTGACCTACATAGTGAGGCCCTGCCTCAAAAAACCAAACCAAACCAAGCCAAAATAAAAAAATGTAAATAAATATCCCTCAGAGATATATATTGAAGTTGCTTAAATATTCTTAGCAATCAAACCCAATAATATGCAAAAAGAATAATATATCATGTCCAGGTTGGATTTATCCCAGAAATTCAAAATTGGTTTAACATTCAAAACTCTAAAGCCAGGTGTGGTGGCACAGGCCTACAATCCCAGCACTCAGGAGGCTGAGACAGGTGGACCATTGCAAATTTGGGACTGGCCTGGCCACAAAGTGAGTTCAAGACTGGCCCAAATTACATAGCGAGATCCTTTATCAAAAACAAAAAACAAATAACAAACCCTGTATCAAAAAGACAAAACAAAAAACCCTCTAACACATCTGTAATCCCAGTAGTTACAGGCCTGAGGTAGGAGGATCACTGCAAATTTGAGGCCAGCCTGAGCTACATAAAGCTCAAAGCTAGTCTGAACTATATAGTGAGATCCTGTCTCCAAAAAAATTAATTAATTAAAACTCAATCAATATAATTTACCATATTAACCCACTAAAAGGTAGGAACCATATGACCCAGCTTCCTAGATAGAGAGAAAAAAAACTGAACAACATCTGACATTCATTTGTCGTTTACTTAAAAGAAAAACAACCCTTCCACAAACTAGGAAGTAATGTAACTACCTCAATCTGATAAAATACATCAATTAAAAAATCAGTTAACTTTGTTCTTAATGATGAGAAATCAAATTATTTATGAGATCAGGAAGAAAAGTCTGCTCTCACTATTTCTGTTTAACATTGTGCTAGAGGTTCTCACCAGTGCAAGAAGGAAGAGAGAAATATAAGAAACAGTGCATACAATGCAAAGAATAATTTAAATCCATCTTTACCCTCAAATAACATTATCACTATAAAATATAAAGGAATCTACAAAAAACTACTAAAACTATTAAATGAATTTAACAAGGTTGTTGAATATAATATAAAAATAATTATATACTTTCAATGGGCAATTAAAATTTGAAATTAACACCTTTCCAATTGCAAAAATATGAATTGCCTCTGGACAAATTTGACACAATTTGTGTGAAAGGCTGGTACACTGAAAACTACAAAATGTTTCTAAGGGAAATTGTAGAAGACTGAATTAAATAGATTTACCATACTCATGGCTCAGAAGATTGGTATTTTTCTAAAAGATAGATACTAAGGAACCCAGAGATGGTCATAAATGGGAGCTGACGGGAAGAGGTGGAGAGGGGAGGGGAAGAGCGGGGTGAGCCTTGTACCTGCGCCGGCTCCCATGGTGCACTGCGGTCAGTGTGCGCTGCAAACGCGTGCTATTAAAAATACAGACTTGAAAGAAACAGCAAAGGCGATGTTTGCAACATCAGTCCTTTATAAATTAATCTATAGATTCAAAGCAATCTCTATAGTAATCTTAGCAGCCTTTTTTTGTAGAACTTGAAAAACTGATTCTAAAATATACACGGATGTACAAAGGAATAGGGTAGTTAAATAAACTGAAAAGATGAACAGACTTGGAGAATTTAAATTCCCTAATTTTGAGACTAATTATAAACCGCCAGTGAGGGACAGTGAAGTTTTGTCAACAGAGGTGCAAACATGATTCCACAGGGAAGGGTTACTGTCTTTAACAAGCAATAATCATTACCTTGACTTGTCTCATGGGAGTGTATGTATGTCAAAACTCATACGATTATTCATCTAAAACATATGCAGTTTGTTCTTTACAAATTATCCCTTAAAAAAAAAGAAACCTACAAACAAGCGGATGCAGATTGGTGCAGTGAAGGAACTGTTCACTTAATTTTAACCACTTTTTTTTTTTTTTTTTTTGGTCTTTTTTGAGACAGGGTCTTGCTATGCAGTTCAGGCTGGCCTTGAGCTCACTTTGTAGCCCAGCCTGGTCTCAAACTCGCAGTGATCCTCCTGCCTCAGCCTCCCCAGTGCTGGGTTATAGGCTTGCTCTGTCACACCTAGCCTCTTCTATGATTTTTATGTTTGCAACTTTTTGTAGCTTTCAGAGAATTTCCAAATAAAAAGTCAGTTAAGTACCTTTATGTGTGAGGTTAGTATTGAAGTTATATACTTAAAAATAGTCTCTGTCTTTTAAAGATATGTATGAAATACTTATGAAAAAATGATATCATGTCTGAGATTCGCGCTGGGGTTTTTATGGGGGTTGGAGTGTAGAATAAGAACAGCCTAGAGTCAGAAGCCAAGTAATGAATACATGGATATTGCTCTGTTCTGCCCTGTTAATTTTTCCATTTGTGTAAATTTTCCATGACTTTAAATTGGAAAAAATTGGCATTTTTCATTGTTTTTTGTTGAAGAATAGTGTATGGCCTCTTAATTGATTTGTTTCCTTTGATACAGACTAGGAAAACGTGTTTATACCAAATTCTTCATTATGGAAATTATATATGAAATTCAGATAGTTCTCAAAACAGTAATAATCCTCTTCAAAACAAAGAAGTCTTTTAATTCATCAGCGAAGCCAGGCATGGAGGCACATGCCTGTAATCCCAGCACTTGGGAGGCTGAGGCAAGAGGATCACTGCACGTTTGAGGCCAGCCTGGGCTACAGAGTTCCAGGCCAGCCTCAACTGCACCTTGTCTCAAAAAAGAAACAAAATTCCTTCGTTGACTACTTTTTTCCAGTGACTTTAAACAATACATTTAGGTTCCAATTCAGCAAAAGCCTCTGTTGAGACCTTTCAGTGAAACAGTCTCTTTCCATATTTAAAAATGCTTATACAAGTAACATTCCTTTATCAAATTCCATGCACCCCTTTCTTTCTGAAATTTTGGTTTGAATTAGAAGATCCCCAGACATTACATTCTCTGATGACTCTTGAAATGGAAATCCTGTTTATGTGATAAGGAAGAGGTTTCAAACTTGGGATATTTGTTTTTCCTTCCTAGGCCTTCTATTTCCCAGGATGCTCTCACGTCGTATTTGGCTCAATGTTAGAGGAGCTTGAATGACATAGAATTTGATCTGAGGAAAGATTTAAGTGTTTTAATTGCATTATTTCTGGAGCTAATCTCTCTCCCCCACCCATAACCCAGCAATTCTAACTTGAGTGGCTCTCACATGAACCAAAATCAGCAAAGCGTGTTCACACATTGATCGGCTACTTAGACATCATGTCGTGTGTCAAGAAGATTCTCATCTGGGCATCTTTATCTCTAGACCTGGGAGCAGCTCTATTGGGAGATCACTTCCTAGCATAGGTCTTTGAGGCATGGGTTTCATCCAATAGGAAAGATGTTTTTATGTGCTACTTGCATGACTTTGCTTGCTATTTTTCTGATGGTTCTTTTTGCAGAGATAGACTTCTGCGCCTCGCCTACCCACGGGTGTCAGCATGAATGTGTCAACACAGACACATCCTATGCTTGCCGCTGCCTGAAAGGCTTTATGCTGAATCCAGACAAGAAAACCTGCAGACGTAAGTCAACCTGGGCGTTGGTGGTGTTAGCCACCATGTTCCTCTAGTTTTATTCCCTTGCACATCGTAAGCAGTGTATAGCTGTACTCGGTGTTTGTGTTTACTAATATTACTCTGCCCTTTATTCTGTCTGTTGGTTCATTAAATCCTAGTGGGATGTTTTAAAGAGATTGGAAAGACTGGGTCTGACAGTGGGGTTTGTTTAGCCAACTCAGGGTCCAAGCTGAAGTTCTGCTTATTTGAAATGAGGATGTACTCTTGGGCTTTCTTACCCACTTGAGATAGGAAAGGCCAGGCCCAGAAATGGGACCTCAAAAGAACTGGGTTCTTCCAGCTCCACAAGATAAGGCGCTTGGTGGCTGCTGAGAGGGGTCAGCTACAGCTCTGTCCTCTTCGATAGGAAGAAAGAAGAAAAATTAGACTCAGAGGCATCATGGCAACACTCAAGGAGGAGAGGACATCGAGGATGGGAGGATGTAAAGAGTGGCTCAACTAAGTGCCTGTCACTGGCCTGGCAAGGACATGAGCAGCAGCCTGGAGCACAGACCCTAAGTGGGATGCCTTTAAACCAGACTTCTTGGGGGACACCAGACTGGAAGGCCACGCGGGCAGAGGAGGTCGCCCCCCACCCCACCAGATCAATGGCTGCGCATGCGTAGTGCACACGGGTGCAGTACACGTTTGCAGAACCGAAGAGTTAGGGAGTCGTTCTGAGATGTATTATCCTGGAGAAACTGCAACTATTATTTGACTCCCTCAGTCGTATTAGAAAGATGAGCTTTTCAGAGCATGCAAACTGAGCCTTTTCTTCAGAAAGCGTCCCCACCATCAGGCTATGCTGATGCATGCTGAATTGTTGTGATCTTCTGACCACGTCAGTCGGAGAACTCTTTAGAGCTTCCAGGGTGCGTTTCCCACCATGCGGCTTCCCAGACTTCTTTCTGGAGATGCAAACAGCTGCGCTCCTCCAGGCCGGACCTCCTTTTGCAAGGCTGCACTGTCTGCCTGTTGTGCAGAGCTTCGTGGGTCCTGCGTGTAACTGACTCCAGACGAGGCACGTTCTGCCCGCAGCACCGTGAACTCGCGTCCTCGTCCTGCTGAGGGCCAGAGCTTGGATGGTGGCAGATGGTTGCCGAGCCCAAGTTTTGAAACCGAGCCTCTCTTATAAAAGATAATCCTCACTGCCCTGCGTGGGTACAAACCCTGGAGACCGGCCAGCACTAAATGGGAACATTACTGGAGAGCATTTGAAATGTGAAAACAATTAGAACATTTTCCATCAGATCACACATGCCTCCAGTATGGCAGGGCCAACTCTTCTGGCCTGGCCAGGCCCCTCTGTGCTGTTTACACCTTTTTCTAGTGTGTGAATCCAGAGCGCTTGTGTGGGGGATGATTTTCTCGTACATTTATTAGGGTCACAAGCTTCCGGTGTGCCTGAGGGTCATGGGGTGGGGTGGGCTAAGCTAGGCAGTGGCCGTGGGTGGGGACTTTTCTTGTGGCTGTGAATCTCTTACCAGTCATCTGAGTCCCTTGGCCCCTGCCGCTCCGCCACACCCTGCCTGCAGAAGCACCCGGAGAAGAGCCGCCAAGGAGGGAGGCTGAGGACGAGATTGGCCCACAGTGAGGCCTGCGTGCGGGCTATGGCCCCGGCCAGGGCACCGTGCTCACTGGCGTAGTCTCTGTGGCGATAGCTCTATTTCCTCCTTAGCCAGGTGCCCTACTTTTTCATCCAGGAAAAATAGAATTTGCTCCTAAAGGCCAATGTCCTCATCAGCCCTTCTCCTGCAGTCCCACCTCCTTAGTATATTTTCCGTTGTCTTTGTTGAGGGCCCAGCCCTGGATGCCTGAGGTCACCTCTGGGAGCCGCCCCTGACTTAGGCTTGCACTTGGTCCTCGTGGCAGAGCAGAGCTGGCCCAGAAGTGAGTGCTTGCTGTCTCCCAGGAGGGTTACGTGGCAGGGGAAACAGAGAGTGGCTTCCAGTCTGAGTTTAGTACTAGGGACCTGAAGTCTCTCGAGGGACCTGAGCATGGTCCACATTGAGCTGAGGCTCCGCCTTGTATGTTTAACAGGAGGCTGATGGATGTGGGTATTTTCAAAGGTAGTAAGAAACGTATCAAGGGATTCTATGTCATCCAGTTAAACCGGGAGGGGGAGGGAGTGGAGGGCAGGGTTTTGAAGAGAAACTCTTGGCCAGGATTCAGTCTTCCTCATCTGGACAGTTTTTCCTTCTGGAGACACTGCTGTCATTGACAGAAGACATCAGTTACAGATGCATTGCTGCACAGCCTGAATCTAGGGCTGCCGGGCTGTCTGGGTGGAGCCCCAGACTGAACCAGATGTGGGCGCAAGCCAGGGGGCGGCTCCAGCACTCCTGATGGTGGCACCTACCACGGTGGGGCTTCCTGTAGCTGGAGGTAACACCCCCTGAAGAGCCAGCCGGAGTCCCGAGGTTGGACTGGGCCAGGAGATGTACAGTCCAGTCTGGGCAGGATCTCTCACATTGGCTGTGTCGCCTGAGCCAGCTACTTCCTACTACTCTGGATCCGGCTTTCTTAAGGGATGGGACTTCCTGCCTCAATTTATTTTTTTAATCTGTTCAGTTTCCCTGAAACCTACTCATGGAGCCATTCTGCTGGCATTCTGAGTCCCTGCTGGACGTCAGGGTGTGCAGTCTTACCTTCTCAGCCAGGTCTCTTGGGAGCTGGCATTGTAAAGCCAGTCTAATCAGTCATGTAACTCAAAGGTTCTTGATATCTGGGGACTTCTCAGACCCATGTGTACCACCTTAGAGTTGATAGGGCTCACGTAAGCAGATATGGGGTGCTGCTGTGTCAGCTAGGGCTCACTGGTAGAATAGGCTTTACAAGGTAAATCACCTGCAGAGTCAGGGGAGGAAGAACGTGAAAGGGCCTTCTGCAGGTGGGGATCCAGAGGGTCCAGCGGAAAGTCGAAGCCTGGAGATCACTGCAGAGTGATCATGTGAGTCTGTATGAGTCTGTATCAGGAGGCCGAGGGTCTGCCCTGGAACGCTAGAGCCTGCCCTGGGAGACTGGAGACAGATGGCCAAGGGCGATGTTGAGGACTGGAGCTCCTCTGAAGGAGCAGAAGGCGAGGCTTCCTTCTTTCCCTTTTTATGCCATCCAGGCCACTCTCCCATTGGTTGGTGCCACCTGCACCGAGGATGGGCCTTCTATCTTCAGTAAGTCAATCACTGGACACTCGAACTGTGCTAACCCGGTCTGCCAGGCATTTGTCTTCAAGTTGACTCCACAGTTAGCTATCCCAGGTGCCGAGGAGGTACTCAGTGGATGCTTACTGAATAAACAAACCAGTGAAGGAATACATAAATAACACATACAAGGCTCCTGTGCAGGCAGCCAAGAGCTACTTTTGATACTTTTTAAAAGGATGATACTTTTAAAAAAACTTTTATTCTCTGGTAGCAGTAGGGATTAAACCCAGAACCTTGTGCCTTCTAGACAAGCTCTCTACCACAGAGCCAGGTCGCCAGCACAAAATAAAATGGTGTTGAGGAGATAGATGGGTTTAAGCTGATTCAAATGTATACATGTATCAAACATGACACACCTCATTAATATGTACAATTTTTGCTTTTTATATATCAGTTGTAATAGATTTTAAGCAATCCAGAAGAAAAAAATAAGAACCATTTAGAGAAAGGTCTTTTTTAAATTTTTTTTGCACTGGGGGTAGAACTCACAACCTCACACTTGCCAGGCAGGCGCTTGTGCTGCTGAGCTGGATCTCCAGCAAAGGGTCATTTTTGAATTGCTGTTTTCCAGATAGTGAGTGATAACCTCTTAACAGGCTAAATGTTTCTCAGCGGAATTATTTTATATGTATTTCTCTATTTAAAAGAATCTCTCTTTAAATATTATTCATTTACACTGACAAAAATTATCCATGTTGCTTTGAAGTCTGTATGTGTAACACATTCTTAAAGACAGTGCTGGGCTGGAGATTTAGTTCAGTGGCACAAGTGTTTGCCTGGCAAGTGCGAGGTCACGGGTTCGATCCCCAGTACTGAAAAAAAAAGACAATGCTGACCTTCTGTTGTGGCAAAATGACATAAAATCCGCCATCTTAACCGTTTTCAAGAGTGCAACTCGGCGGCCCTGGGTCCATTCTCCTTACTGAGCAACCGTCCCGGCTGCATCTCAGAACATTTCACTGCACCCGCTGGAGCTCTCTCTTTGTTGAACACTGTCCTCATCTGCACCCCTCCTCATCTCCTCTCTGACTCTGAGAACTGGATTATTCTAGTGTGACTGCACCCCTACAACATTTATCCTTTTGTCCCTGTCTGTCTCAACACAGCGTCTTCATGGTTCAACCATGTGAAGCACATGTCAGCCATGTGTCTGCTGTGTCCACAGAAAAAGAGCAATGCAGTACAGTCAAACCAGTCCAGCCCACACAGGTTTTTTACTGGCTGAGTAATACTCTGCTGTGTCTGCACCATGTTTGGTGATCCGTTTATCCACCAGCGACCCTGTGGTCATTCCCACCCTACAGCTGTGTGGATAGTGCCAGCGTGATCTCAGATTTAGAAACCCGGGAGTGGGATTCTGGATGCTGCAGTTAATTTGATCTTTCACAGTGCAGAACCACCATGGTTCGGAGTTTACTGAACACAGTTTCCTCTCTCCCTGGTGGGGTAGCTGGGGACCTGGACCCCATGCAGCTCCAGAAAGCCAGTCAGTCATGTGCCCACAAGCTTGCAGGAGTTTTTCTGACTTGATGACGAGGTGCTCGGGCACGGACAGCATAGACGTGATTAACAGCGACTACAGTGACGGTGACTGCAGCATGGCAGAGTGTGAAGGGCTGACCTCTCAGAGGAGGCCACGCTATGGGGGAGCAAGGCAGTGAATCGAGGGCAATATTTAAAACCAGGAAGTTTTGTTACTTATTTCCCTTCATTCCACTGTGTGTGTTTATAGGGGGCCCAAGACGATTCCTCTTCGCACACTGTGAATGATCCCCACAGCCCCTGCCCCATGTGACCCGGACTGTGAGCCCCTCCTGCCCTGTTTGTCTGTGGCCAGGGTTTGAGTGAGAGCTCTGTTTCCCTCCATCAAGGCTCTTTGCTGGGTTCCTGGCACTCGGTGATGTCCCAGAAGGGTGAGGGTGTTAAGGGGTCCTAACCTCTCCTTGCGCCAAAGGAATGGATTCCAGAGAGCGTCAAGGGTCCAGGACGCAGCCAGCTGCCCCTTCTTTCAGGTGCCCTTGCGTGTCACAGTTTGTCTTTGTGCGCTGCATCTGCCACTCCAGGGGTCCTTGGTAAACTTTTCTGTGTGGCTTTCTGGCCAGAACCAGGGCGCGTTCCACCCCTGGCAGTCTCTGAGGAAGGAGAACATGGTCTTAGGGTTGACGGCTTAGGTCAGCCATGATTTGTAGGCTGGGGGCCACGGGGTAATGGTTACTGGCAAGACCACCACAGTGTCTGCCACCTTCGCAGGAGGACAGTGCGATGCAGTTAAACTGGTCTGGCCCAGACCGTGAGGTCAGCAGTGACCTTTACCCCAACACCGCTCTCTCCAGGGCCCTCTGGGAGCCCCTTTCATTTCCCTGCCAGTCCTCTGCCTCCCCTCTGACACAAGGTCTCTTAACATCTTCTACCAGGAAATAAATTGTGGGTTGCCTGCTGGTTAGGAGGCAGCTCCTGTCAATCAGCGGAGGAAGCTTTGGATGGGGGTGACCCTAACATGGGACAGAACTGCAGCTCCGCAGGGCTTTGGCGGAGACTGTCACCTCTGCTTCATGATACGGCTGTTGTCATGTCTGAGGAAAGCCAAGCCCTTCGACCCCTCCTGTCTCTGCCACTTCCAGACTCCGATAACTGGCCATGTAGTTTGCAAGATCAGCTGTGGTTTATTCTGCCTCATGTCACACGTCATTGTCAGATGTCACTGTAAACAGAAGCCGCCCACATGCTTTGAGCATTAGTGATCAGGTCTACTGAAGGAAGAGGCTGGGTTTTCTTAACTTCTCCACCTCCTGTGAAAGAGGATGGACAGGGAAGCGTGGCCCCACCTCTCTCAGCGCTTAGCATCAATTTAGTTCATCGCAGCTCAGTTGCGGGGCCTTGACGTGGCCTTCGGCAGGCAAAACAGAAGGGAATTAATGGCAGGGAACCGCAGCGTGCAGTGGGGCCAGGCTCTCCTCCGCACAGGCCCCCGGAGGTGGGCGCTCTTTCTGGGTCCTGCAGGGCTCCTTGCTTGCTGAGTGTTTGCTGAGCTCACTGCAGAATCCTCTTGGAGGCCTTTCCACCTCCACCAGCACTCCCGGCCCGGCCACTTGCTTATGGCCTTCTTCGCGCCATCCTGCACAGCCCTTTCCTGCCCAGTCCCGTTTGTCCCTCTCACTCCAGCCTTCATCTGCTCCTCTAGCTCCCAAATGTGTGCCCCGCCTTTGTCCCCTCGTGCTGTGCCCAGTCCTTACTCTCTGTTCTCGGTCCTCTTCTGAAGGCCTCCAGCTGGCCATCACCTCTTTGGAGAGGACACTTGATCCCTGGCCTGCCTCAGAGGGGGGCCTCCTCTGTGTTGCCTGATGACTGGGTTCCCTTGTCTGCCCCCTCATCTCAGGGCACAGACCCTATTCCATCCCCCACAGCTACATCTCGGCCTAGCCCCTGGCTGGCAGAGGAGTGGGTGGCCAGGTCCCAGCTCCCCTGGGGCGGAAGCAGCAGCAGCATCTGTCTGCATGGGGCCCTGGCAGCCTCTCGGCCCAGAGGAGAAGCCCAAGTCTGCAGGAGGCTCTGTCCTTCCTCCCCGCAGGAATCAACTACTGTGCACTGAACAAACCCGGCTGTGAGCACGAGTGTGTCAACACGGAGGAGAGCTACTACTGCCGCTGCCGCCGGGGCTACACCCTGGACCCCAACGGCAGGACCTGCAGCCGTGAGTGTGCCCCAGGGGTGTGGGTGCAGATGGACGCAGGCTCAGCGACGGGCCATTCTGGAGCTCCCAGGTTTCCCTCGGGTCTGCCTCATCTCACCACCCCTTATCAGGACTCTAGGACTACCAGCTTGATGGGCTGGGGTGTGAGGATCAAAGGAATCCATACGTCTAAAATATTTGACAGAATTGTTAGGCACGGCCCTCAGAAATACTAGTATTACTCATCTTAGCTGTTAGAGTCATGGACTAAGTCAGGTAGGCCCGAGTTCAAATCCAATCTCTGCCACATTCTGCTTGAATGGTATTGGGTGTATTAACTTCTTAGAGCTTTGATTTCCTGTCTGTTTAAAAAAGTGAGGATAATATTAGTCTTGGTTTTCCGAGGTGGTGATGGGAAGTAATTGAGAACATTGCAATCCCTTAGCCTCATGCCTGGTGCAAGGTAAACAGCTCACCAAGGATAAAGGCTCACACACGGGGCTGATGAGAGGGACCAGTGTTTAGGCCTAGCTTGGGACAAGAGGCTGGCGGGGCTGGACCTCAGAAGCAGCAGCTTCTGGGCTGATCTGAGGACAGAGCTGAGAAATTCGGGATTTGTGAAGCCCTTTTTTTTTTTGTATCCTTGTGTCAGAACTACCACAAAGCCCATCCATGATATAAACACATGGGAACTCTCGGGCCCTGCCAGCTGGCTGGTCCTGTCATGTTTTATGAGACACAGACTCCACGGCCCAGGCCAGCAGGGTGGGAGCACACAAACGCTGTGACCCTGTTACTCTGGGCACCCGGACTCAGTGACATGGCCTGCAGAGAAGAGGCCCTTTGTGTGCTTTCCACTCGTAGTGCACATCTGCTCTGGTGCTGGAGACAGAGATGGATTGAGACGGAGAACAGTACAGCTGTTGAGTTTGGACACTAACTCACCAGGGAAGGGGGTGGTTTCACAGCTAGCACACGTCCAGGGCTGTCCTCAGGAAAACCTGTTCCCCTTCAGCCTGCGAAGGGAACGCAGTGCCTCCCCCGGGCTTTCTGAGGTGGGTCTCTGAGGCCAGGGGCTTGGGGATGAGGAAGTTGGTGCAGCATCTGGCCTCTGCCGTGCATTAGCCAGTGGGGAGCAGGAGTCCTACATTCACCGAGGAGGGAGATCTCCTGGTCATGATGAATCCCAGCCAACCCTGCCTTTTTCCAAGAGCGTGGCATCTTCCAACCGCTGGCCCTGGAAAGTTTCCTGGGACAGGCTGGGCGTGACTTGGCTGGGCCACCTAGGCCACCGGTGGCCATGGTCTGTCCACCTCTCTCCCAGCATGGGAAGCCTGGAGGGGCTCAGAGCTTGGCCAAAGACATAGTGACTCTCCATTCTCTCTGCGATTGGTCAGCTGTAGAAAAGTGTAACCCAAGCTGCTTCCACCTAGGAGTCCTCAGAGAAAGCTCCCCCAGAGGGCTCCCCCAGGGCACACTGACTGCCAAACCTTAGGGACGCTCGGTTTGTACAGGAGCTGTGGCGAGCACTTACCACGATCAACTCTACTGATCCTCTCAACTCTACTGATCCTTGAGCTACCCATACCCCTTTTTAAAGAGGGAAAAACAAGAAAATTGTCACTTTCCTGGTAAACATTCAGGATGTGAACAAGGGCATGCAACTCCTGAGGTTCTATAGGAGTTTGCAATAGGTTCTTCCATGACAGAAGGTTCTAGAAGGACTGGTCCTAGCCACACAGGAGTGAGGAGCTCACTTGGTGGCCCTTGACAAAGCTTTCAGTGTCTGTCCAGTCTCTGGGGTGCACTTTCTCCATCCAGGAAGTCTGAGGTCGCCTGTGGCTGTCTGTGGGAGCTGTGGGCCACAGCTGTGTGTTCACAGGCCTTTTTATTCATGGCCCAGGGCGCAGCTGTGCAGAGTTTGGGTGCCAGGATGGACCACACAGATTGGCCTGGGCTTTGGTTTGCTTTCTGATTCTAGTTCCCGATTAGGAGGATTAAAGAGAAATCACATTCTTAAATTCTCAAATAGAAATGAAAATATACAACGAATCCTTACTCAGCACTCCTTGCTAATAACCCTAAGCGTTCATGAAGTGGGCACCACGTGCCAGCTGCTGTTCTAAAGCTTCACTTTCCCTGTGTTACCGCCTCTCCTCCTGACCACACTTCCATGAGAACGCAGCCTTCCTCGTTCTCGTGGCTCAAGTCAAGAGACCATGAGAAGGCCATGGGGAGGCCACGCGACTGCCAGCATCCACAGCTGGGGTGTGGTAGAGGTGGGATTGAGACAGACACCCCCTCCTCGAGCACCACGCTTTGTGATATGCACAGTGCCCCTGCTCTGGGCGTCCCTCAATGCAGAGACAGCGGATTCTGCATGCCAAGGCCCTGGCCTGGGGTTTAAAGAGGTGGGAAGAGACATGAGCAAGGCTGATTCCCCAGAGAGGCTGTAGCGTGGCACAGCTTGGCACCTTCCCTTCAAAGCAGGCTTCGCTTGCCAGCACCCTTGGCTGGGAGGGCATCGCCCCTCACCCTTCGGTGTACTGTGTGGCTCATGCAGGAGTGGACCACTGTGCGCAGGACCACGACTGTGAGCAGCTGTGCCTGAACACGGAGGAGTCCTTCGTCTGCCAGTGCTCAGAGGGCTTCCTCATCAATGAGGACCTCAAGACTTGCTCCAGTGAGTCCCCTCTGCGCCTCTCTGGCAGGGAAGGGCTGGAGACACCAGTGGGATATGCAGCCCCTGCAGAGTGGCAGCTCGGGCATGGGGCCCCTTTCCTCCTTGGGGTGGTGAGCACCACGACCTCTCATCCCCATCCTCCTAGTCCTGTGGCCTCACTGACGGGGCCTCGGGGACCTCACCTGGGTCTTGGCTTTCCAGGGGCGGATTACTGCCTGCTGAGCGACCATGGGTGTGAATACGCCTGCGTCAACACGGACAGATCCTTCGCCTGTCAGTGTCCTGAGGGCCACGTGCTCCGCAGCGATGGGAAGACCTGTGCAAGTGAGTCCCGCCACTTTCAAGATTCTGGGACAGTCAGGACAAGGTCTGTGAGGTCCCTGGGTGTGGGTGTGGCTCTGATGCTGACACCTGCCTGTGCCTGGTGTCCCCTGCCTGTGGTGGGCCCAGTCCAGGGGGACATGTGTGACGCCGTCTCTTAGCCATTTGAGCCCTGATGGTTGCTTCCCGTCTACCCCCAAACTCCCCCACCCCCTGCTTCTAGAAACGGCCTCGGCTGTTTGCAGGGAGGCCTCGGTGCGGTTGTGGAACTGGACAGAGCCCTCGATTTTCCATTGCTGCCCTGCTTCCAATGTGGCTTGTCCCTGGCGGGATTCATGTCCTAATCTGCTTTGTTATCATGGCGGTTTTGAGAGAGAGGCCCCTGGAGGTGAAGAGGCTGCACAAAGCCGCGCCTTTCTCAGCGGCGTGGGTTGATTCTCGAGGGAGGTTAGGTGGCAGAAAGAACAGGTTGTTAGAAAGCTGGACCCATCTCCCCTGTCCCTCTTCCACCACTCTCTTGCAGTGTGCTTTTCCACGAGAAGACAAAGGCAAACAAGGCCCTTGCCTAGTGCTGCTCTTGGGCCTGCGAGCCTCCAAAAGGGGGTTACCTGAACCTCTGTTCTTTCTAAGTCAACCAAACTGCCCTGTTCAGTTGGTTGGTTGGTTGGTTGGTTTGAAACAGGTCTTGCTATGTAATTCAGACTGGCCTTGAACTTCCTGTGTAGCCCAGCCCAGCCTTAAACTCTCAGCCCTCTTCCTGCCTCAGCCTCCCAAGTGCCGGGATTCCAGGTGTGCACCACCATGCCTGGCTGGTGTTCAGTTATACAGGAAGTGGACCTACATGCTCTCTCTGTTCTCTTAGCCAGCAGCCTGCTCATAAACAGTGATGTGCCCGCCACTGGCTGCCCACTGGCTGCGTGCCCGGCACCGTGCTAAGCACCAGGGCTGTCACAGATGACACTGCAGCTCTGATTAAGAGACTGAGGTCCCTGCTGTTAAGTGAGCATTCTCACAGTGTGACTTCAGTCTTGTGAGTGTGTGAGGGGGAGCGGTCCTGGGAAATCTGTCTGTCTGTGTCTCAGCACATCCCAGCTTGGCAGTGACACTACCTGGTATGTGTTTCCTTATAGCTGATCTTAACTCCTGTCTCGACTAAAAATAAACAGAAGCTCCCACGCCCCTTTTCTGCTTCACTCAAGAGCGCTGCCCTTGAGGCTGGGGATTTAGCTCGGCAGCATAAGCACCTGCCTTGCAAGCCTGCGGTCGGCTGTGAGTTCAATTTCTGGTACTGACAAAACAGAGAGAGAGAGCTGCCCTGTTTGCTGTCCTGCATGCCTGTTGCTAAATAGACCAGGGGAGGCTGAGGCAAGAAGACTGCTGTGGGTTCAAGGCCAGCGTGGGCTTCATAGTGAATTAAAAGCTCACCTAAACTACATAGTGAAACCACATCTCAAAAAAGTAAAAGATAAAAGATGGAGGACCAGGGATTTATCTCAGCAGTGTAAGCACCTGGCTGGCAAGTGTAAGATCTTGAGTTCCATCCCCAGTACCAAAAAAAAGAAAAAGATAAAGGATGGAAAAATTGTTTCTCTGTGAGAAGAGATTGGGAGCAGAGGGAAAGGACCAGATGTCACCCTCCCTGTCCTACTGGTCTTTCCCATTACAGGGTCCAGTTCCTTGGCCACTGACAAAGTCATGGCTGGAGGTTCCTCTGTCCACCTGCAGTGCTGTGCCTGCACACGGGTGGGTCTGCCCAAACGGTGACCCCTGTTGCTGTGTCACCTGGGAGAAAATGCTTCCCTGGCAGGGCTGGATTCTTGGGTCTCAGTGAATGGCTCGTTCGTGTCACACCTCACGGGCAGCTCCCTGCCCAGCTGCCTCCCAGCTGTGGCCACACCCTGGGCACTGAGGGTGGGAGAGCCCAGAGCTCTGTGCTCATCTGCCGGCCAAAGCAGATGCAGGAGGACTTGTGGGCTTCATGCTCGTCATCCTCAAGGATTCCTGCCTTCCTTCATTCTCTCCTGAGCTGTGAAAATCAGAAACACATACGGTGGTCGCAGGACTTCTCATCAGCCTCATAGAGGATTCCAAATGCACATGGCCCCTCCCTGCAATTCCTCAGCCCCACCATCTATCTGAGTGCCGCCCTTTGACATTTTTAGGGGGGTATCAGAGATCGACCTCATGCTTGTCTAGTAGGCTCTTGTGCAGCTGAGTTAAATCCCTGGCCCTGCCCCTTCCCTTTGAAACGCTGCCTATTTTCTCGTTTACAGTGTGTTTGTCACTAATGGCACAGTGACGTCATCCGCATAGCAAAGGTCTCTATGGTTGGGTCAAGGACTTGGGAGATAATCAGTCAGGTTAGAATCCCCTCAGGAGGAGGACGTGAGAACCACATTTCCCGCTGGGACTCTTCTGATTAAAGACTTTCTGTCTGCTCTGGGATGATTCAGCCCACTGTTACGGCCCCATTCCATAATAGTGGGCTTTGTTTTCGGTGTGGCCACAGCTGACTTTGGTTGGAATGGAAGCTCTCCAAACCTAGGCCAGATGACATGGAGCCGGCTGACATGACTCTCATAAAAATGTCCTTGGCCTTTATAAAGGCAGCCTCCACTTAGATCTGTGACAGCAGAGGTCTAAAAAGAGCTTCACTCATCTCCCGGAAAGCTCTCTGAAGGGCAGAGCTCAGACCTCAGTTCCTGAGGCCCTAGGACCAAGCAGAGGCTGTGGATCTCGATGCCCTTGAGGCACCTGGGGCTCCCTGGGGCTGCAGGGTGAAGCCTGGTCTCCTTCCTCCTTGCCCCTACCCTGCAGCCTCTGGTTACAGAGCTCAGGCGAGGGCAGGTTCCCTAGAAGGAGCAATGGGAAGTCTTTCCTACCCGCTGCAGCAGGTGGAGAGCTTTCCTCCCCACACTAGAAGTTTCCCTGAAGTGACATGCACCTTGCACAAAGGCATCCCGGTTCATTGACCTGTGGGCTCCTGGAGGTCAGAGGTCAGAGGTCAGAGACTGGGTCTCTTCTAGAGCCAGAGTCCCAGAGCCAGTCCATAGGAGATGCTTAAGTGAGGGAGATGTGTAGAAGAGGAAATGGTTAGAGAGCATTTTGATCCTGTGGTCCTGGTACAGGGTCCACTCTATTCTCTGACCTTCAGTGACTCCCAGTGATCTCCCAGAATCCATTTCGACTCCTATCGCTTACTTCTGCCCTGGGTCTGCCCTGAAGCTTCCTGTGCTCCAGCCATAGTGGGGAGTCCTCTCTTCTCCGAGCTGACCCTGCGTCTTCAGCCTGTCCTCTTAGGACAGCCTCTCTGCCCCAGCTACCTGCAAAAACTGAGCCCATCTCCAGTGTCACCCCTGCAGGGAACTTCTTCCCTCCCCACCTGCTGGGTACCTGCATCCTCCTCCTCCCCCAGGTTCATCTGGGACCTCTCTGCCTGCTGTCCAGCCTGGCCTTGCCTTGTGGCTCTCTGCACAGATATGGGACATGGCACTGCAAAATATAATGAACATGGCCCTGGGAGCCCAAAGACCAGATTTAATTCTGTGGCTTCTCTCATGGTCAAGGAACTTGGCTTTCTTTGGGTCCAGTTGCTCATCTCTAAACTGGAAATGGTCATTCCCGCCTGTCTCTCAGGGTTCCTGAGTGGCACAGGGAGAGATATCCATTGGAGCTTTGTGCACCTGTAGAATAATTTTAGCCCTTGTTAGGTCTCATTAAGGTCTTCTCTCCCTACCCTCAGACGCTACCACGTGGAGGAGCAGCCTAAGGGAGCTCCCGCCTTGCTACCTGGAGACCCGTGTCCCTGGGCCAGGCCTGCTATCCTTAGAGGAGCCCCAGCCTCATTGGGGTCACTGTGGGGCTCTTTCAGAGGTGGCTTGATGTAGAGTGTGTGTGCTGGGATTGATTCATGGTGCGATGTGAGGATGAAGGGCAGCCAGATTAAGGGTGTGAGTGCTGCCCACGCTGAGGGGCCGTGTAGGGTGTAAGGGACAGAAAGAGCTGTGGTTGTCCCCTGCTGTTTTGCTACCTTCTTGCTATGAACTGTTTCTCCTCTGAGATATCCCTCTGCCGTGTACCACCCGGCCTTAGAGCCAGCCTTATGGACTGAAACCTTTGCCAACGGTGAGCTAAATAAACCTTTGCCCTTTAACTTTGGGTGGTGGATATTTTGTCTCAGCAAGAGAAAAGTAACTAAGACACCCAGGGCCACACCCCCTGGAAGGGGAGAGTCCCAGGAGCCCAAGGACTGACCTAGGGGAGACCCTTCCTTCTTCCAGGGCCCTGGACACTGCCACGGCTGTGTCACAAACCTTAGTGTCCCAGGGATGCAGTTGGCTATACTCCCAGTATAGCTACCTCAGGCTGATCGATGTGCAAAGGCCTGTTCAGACCTGAAGCTCCTGGCGTGGCTTCCCAGGCTGAAGCCTTCCTGAGCAAGCTTGGCAGAGTGTTTTGGTCTGCTTGGGCTGCCATGACAGAATACCATAGATGGGTGCTGTTTTCTAACCGCAGAAATCTGTTGCTCAGCCCTCGAGGCTGGAAGTCTGAGATCAGGTGCCAGATCAGGGTGTTGCATTCTGGTGAGGCCTTTGCTCCTGGTTTGCAGTCAGCCAGCATCTCTGGCTGTGTCCTCATGTGGCAGGGAAGAGAGAATGAGAGAGCAAGAGTACACAGGACAGGGCATGAGCACCCCAGGATCTCTTATAAGGGCACTAATCCTGTTGGATCAGGGCCCCAGCCTCATGACCTCATCTAAACCTCATCACCACCAAATACCGTATAAAGGGGTTAGTGTAGGAATTTGGGGCCTGAGGGGGATGGCTCAATGAGTAGCTAAGAGTAAGGGAAGAGAAGACCACTTGTGGGACAGAAGGAGCAGTATAAAGCTTCCTTTGCTTTTGTGCAAAGGAGGGACCAAAAGGATACCCCCAAGCTGCCCTGGGGGCCAGTGGCAGAGCCAGGGCTACAGCCCAGGCCCCTGGCTTCAGATCTCTTGCTCA